GGAGCTCAGAGGACAAAGCACAGCAGAGTGTGTGTTCACAGGCAGAAGACAGCAGGACAGAGACACACAGCAGCACACAAGACAAACCTGAAAACATAGACTGATTGTTGTTTATACCAGTGTCAAATGAAACATTTTAATGTAATTTTTTTTTCAAAATATGAATCCACTTTCTCTTTTAACTGCTTTTATTAAATGTATTACCATGGGTAACCAAGGTAAACCATGGTTTACTCTTTTGTTCATAATAATGCTTCAAAAATAAAATAAAATTTTTACTCACATAATTATTTTATATTATAAACCTTTAAAAATAAAACTGTTTTCACTGAAAGTAGGAAAATGTTAAATAACCACTATTGTTTCCATTTTGGACAATTGCTGCGCATGTTTAGCATTCTAAACTTTCAATAGAACTGAGTTTACAGACCGTCAGAAACAAGTATGTAGATGGATTCTATGTTTAACTAGAAAGAGTCAACGAAAAGTAAAAGACTGTAAAATTTTTACATATTTCTTAAAGTGAGATTTTGGCCTTAGAATAAACGTCTTTATTTTAAAAAATAAACATCAGCAGGACAAAAACTCAGAGCAACACACAGCACTAAGCTGAAAACATTGTTGATGATATTGTAAAATAGATTTGGATATAACTGTTCAACATATAAAATGTCTGTACTTTTTTCTTTTTTAACTAAGTTTTAGTCGTTCATATGTTATTATAGCAATGTAAAATTATTCATGCTTTATTTCACTGTCTCATGCACTTTTGTATTGTCATGGTGATATCATTAATAAATTAAAAGCCCACCCTGTACCACTTACATATTACTTATATACTACTTATATATATAAGTAGTATAAAACCCTGATATTTTTTATTTATTTATTTATTAACCTTTATTTAACCAGGAAGATCCCATTGAGATTAAAAACCTCTTTTTCAAGGGAGACCTGGCCAAGATAGGCAGCAGCAGATGTCTCACAGTTACAGAAATTACTCAAACACAGGCAGCAACAACACACATGCAACAATAAGTGAAAGAATACAAATAAAAAATAAAATTCAAATAAGAATAAAAAAGTCAGTTAAAATGACAATCAATCTAATTGAAACAGTTACATGTTATGGACTTGACCTCAAGGATTCGTGGTTTAGATTTAAAAGCACTTAATGAAATGAAATGAAATATCCACTAGATGTCACATTTAGACCAATAATGTCCACTGGGCTTGTCTCACTCTGTGCAACGAGGAGTTTGTTTTCAAAACAAATCTTTGAGTTGACCACAGGGTGATCCATATGGGAGGACCTTTTTTTATGAGTGTTAAAGTATGAGAACAGGTACTTAGATCACTTTTTTAGACTCCATTATCAAGAAGCATATCACCTTGAAAAGTAGATCCAGAGTATGAATTGTAATACGCAAATGTTTTGTTCTTATTCTTGTGAAGAAGAAATCTTCTTTTGTGATAATGTTAATGATGAGCAGAATTATCTTACTTTATCTTGTAAAAAGATGCTTGAATTTCACATCATCCAACCCCCACTGGTTGTCTCCCCCATCATCCTTGAAATAATTCTAATGTTAGCTAAAGCACTAACCCAAATCAATGAAGCAATTTTAGTGCTTTTCCCTTGTATTGTTCACAAGTTAATGTCACCTATTACCTTGGGTATTTGGTCTCTCCCCCGGCTCCAGTTAGACTGTCAGGGCTTTTCTTTCCCAAGATTAAATGGAGTCCCCGTAAACGTGGCGAAACAGGGGTGGAGGACCACAGTATCATACTTTGGGCACTTACTCAGCTTGTGCGTTATACTCTATTTGTGGCGCTGCCCTTTGTTTTTCAGGCTAGTGTTGACAGATTATTTATTTAAGAGATCTTTAAATATCAAAGGTCTATTCCCATAATCATACCACTATCCCTCCCTTCTTAAAAGTTTCTTTTATCTCATCTCCTGTTATGTCCTCCTTTCTTGTCTTGTCTTCAACATTTACTACACATTTATCTGATCTCCTCCTTTCCTCTCCTCTTGGTATAGCCATTATGCTAGTTTTGGCTGCACATTAGAACCTTTACCGATTCTTCATCACTCCTGTTCCCCCCCCCTCCCTTTTGTTCCCATCCAATTCCAACACCCTCCTATATCATCCCTGCCCTCCTTTTTCTTCCTCACATTCAGTGCATCCATGTTTTTTCCCTTGTAACGCTTCCACTCCCTTCCCTCCTGTTGTCGACATTTTAACTGACTCCTAATTGACTGGGTGTGTTTAAAGCAGACAGCTTTTATTGCTATTACAAAAGCCTGCGAATCTATTTGGTGTGTGCAAAAAATGATGCAGACACCATGGCGGAAACATGTTACAAAGCTTCAGCACAACATGGCACCTCATTAAAAATGACAATTATAAAGTTATTAAAGGTTGTATTTTGCAGACTCTGGTGTCAATTATTTTGTGCTTGACAAGCAATATACAACTACAGTATATTTCAAAAAGGCATCTTTGCTGCAGATTTGGCTGAACAGTCCTGCACAAAAATTAAATCTTTTTACATTCTTTTTGCAGAATTTGGATTAACTGTATTGTAAAATTTTTTACAATGGCATATTTGAATAATATTAACTGTATATGTAAACAATATTTGCTCTCAGTATAAATCTGTTTAGCACTGCAATGCAGTTATTTTTCATTTCCTTATAGCAGTATTTTGTTCTTTTGGATCTTTAGCCATCAGAATTGTTGTCTTAAGGCCAAGAAAGATGCCAAGC